AGCGCGCCACTTGCCACTTCACCATCTCAGCCCACTCATAATTATCGAAATTATCCCTTTTTAGAACTTCCATCACAAGCTATTCCCATGTTTTCAGCATTTTTTCCATGGGCACCATATTGATGCCTCTTCCAGCATCATATTGATGCCCATGTGTTTACCTTAGACATATGTTTACCATTTTTACAGAACTTGATTGCCTTTTTTTGTATTTCCATATAAAGAAGTATACATCTCATAAAAGTGAAAGATAAGAAGCTAGCAAATGAATAAACAATAAACAATGAACAAACAATACTATCGGAGAATAAACAACAAGGACAGATCAGAAAATCTTGCAAGGGTCTCTACCTAACTTGGGACTTTGATAAAAACAAAGAGAAGCATTACACAATAAAAAGTCAACAACAACAAAATACAAAATTCTCACCAATGATGATCTGCAGCTTTTACAATATTAGTGTTACTCATGATTATAAATGATTTTAAGGGTATTACAGTGTAATTAAGGGAAGTAGCCCATTGAAATTTCTTCAGCGGAAGCCGGCCAAACAGAACCGCACCTAATGTTCGTAACTAAAGAGCAGGTGGAATGAAACCCAATCTATCCGATATCGGAGGCACCAACGCAGACCTTGATTGGGAGATCCAACCAGTCTTTTTTGGCCTTATTACCTTGAAATTCTCCACTCAAATGAAAGTTTTATTCAGGTAAATTGGTAACCTTTGCCGAAACCATAAGCTAATGAGCACTGGGGAACACCCAAGTAATTATGAGCCTTCCCTCAACGTTATCCTTACCTGGGCCATGAATTACGTGCAAAATGGAGACCTTGACAGCAGCGGTATGTGCGCATGTGGGTCCGGGCGCTGTGACATCAGCGCAGTCATATAACGCCAGCCATCATATACTCTCGGCTAGATGATCCCCGATGATAACCGTGGGCATGAGCATGGAAGGCTAATTCAGCTTATGATCCTATCACCCATATAACCCATAAACGCTCCCATTCCCCATAACCACAACACTGACACTTGGGTGAGGTTGTGCCGCGCGCGAGATGTTTTTGACCTCGGGCGCCTAGTGCTTTCTTAGTGCGTGCAACGTTCCGCGTCGGTGACCGTCTTCGCGGCGTATAAAGCGCAGTCCGGTCCCTCCACCCCACGCCCATCCACTCTCCTTGCTTACTAACACCACTCATCGTCCCGTGTCCCACCCTAACACGGGATGAATCCACATTCCATAAACTTCATTCCATTATACTGCTTACTTAACTGCTTCCTTACTTCATTCATGGTATTGTATCGTCAGCCGGCCGCCGGCGACGTTGGCTGGTGGCAGTGGTCTTCCGCTCTTCGCAATCATTTTGTTCGAGCCGATTTTCCCTATTTACGAATATTTATTCCAATTCTTTTTCAACCGTATATGATTGCCTGAATTCAGGTGTAATGGAGGACCCTCGGGAGAGGGCATACAAGGCGGTGGCCTATTCAGCGGTCACCTTCTCTCTTGTCGCTATTCTCTCCGTTTGTATCACCATGCCTATAGTGTACAATTTTGTAGACCATGTACAGCAACAGACCAAGAGGGATCTCCAGTTTTGTAAGGTAAGGTATCTAGTCTTTCTCTTGAATGGTAATTACCTTTTCTCACCTGGGACAAGCTAGTCCTCTTCAATCGCACCCCCTCCGCCATCGTCACCCATCCAGTCGGATACGACTGTGGAACCGTCCGCTGTGCGCCGCCGGCCGACAACGACGAAGATTGACGGCGAAGCTAGCTTCCACAGCCGAACTTGGACCATTTGGGGGCATTTCTCGTTTTGCCATGACGAATGGGCGCTTCATACACCCGAGGCAACTTAGAATCTTCCCATACAGCCAGTTCTGATGCCTCAACACCACCTGGGTAATTTGCTTTGATGGCGGCAACCGTTCAGGAGCTTAATGGGGCTTTCATGTTTAACAGTTCCTTGGGTGATTGAAAACAGACAGAAGCGGATAGATCAGTTAAGGTCGAGCTCGTTAGTGCATCTTAATGACATTCCTATGTTCACAACAAGGAAGGTTCTGAACATAACGACCTAAACTGGCCAGTTTCAGTCGTCAGCAAGAGACATCATGACGGAGATCACTCACAAGAAGCCCGCATCGTTTGCATCAATCGCGGCGAATGCTACCAGTGCAAGAGCCAAGAGGCAGGCTGGCTCGTGTGCATGTGAGTAACAACTTTTCTCAATGAGATTGCATCAAACGGGACCTTCAGATACTAAAATCGACCTAACTTTCAGCGTGCTGCAAGCCTGGACATCCTGGACGTCCTGGTCTGCCCGGCAGAAATGGAAAACCCGGAGTTCCTGGAGCACCAGGTCGGCCAGGTGCACCTGGACGACCACCGATTGTATGCGAGGAACTTGATATTCCTCCATGCAATCCATGTCCACCTGGACC